ACACACACACACCGGGGTAGTCGCAATATGCGTTTTCGCATTTGCATATTATGCAAAAACGCATAATTACAAGATTTCGGTGATAGCCGAAAGAAAATGCCGAGGTGCTAGATTTTTTGCTAAAAATTAAAGCTGCGAGATTTATGAGTGCATCAAAATCAGGTGAGCTTCCTTGCTGATGAGTAGCTGAGCTGGAATGAATCGAAATTTCCCTGCAGCTAACGACGAATATTGCAGTACAACAGTACCAAACAGTTCGCATAACAAATACCACATGAAATTGGACTTTTTTATTTTTCCTTTACAAAAAGCTGCACTTGAACAATTAGAACTATGAAAGCCGACTTTCGCAAGACATACATCTTTGCGCATACGGAGATCTTCCACAGCTTAAACTGAGGCCAAATTTACAACTTAACACAGTTCTAATCAAAGTTTCGAAAAATTATTGCAGTTTGATCTCCACTAGCAGAGTAGTCAGAAAATATTTTTCTTCGAAAAAAGCATTCCCGACAATTTCACTACAAAACAGAAAGCTTGTGCTCGAAGTTCGTTTTGTTAAAACTCCAGCCCAATATGCTATATCAAAACATTCTTGGTGAACAGCAGCCAGCCATATCCTTGTGTGCCTATTTGTGCACATAGGAAATTAGCAAAAAACCTGTTACACATTCCTCTCATCGCAAAACGTTGGCAACCACCAGTCAATAAGTTCGCTGAATTTCATTATTATCTATGAGTAACACAATACGGCTCAAGCAATTTCAGAGAATTTTAGTCACTGGCAAGAAAACTGAATAACGAGCAAAATTCTCAGAATGAACGATCACTTGGGTTCGGCTTTTAGTTAGCACTGCCCGGCCCTGATTTTCTCAGTATTACCCCGCAGCTGGCTGTAAAGTGCTCACATTCGGCAAACCGCCGGCGTCAAAAACATGATATCGCGCTCTTTTTGAAAGGGAAGGTACTCGAATACGTTGCACGTACTTTGCTAGCCAAACTGATAATGTTAGAAAAAACAGATATATGACAATTTGAGCAGCTGAAATACCGTGAAAAAAAGCACGCAAGAAGTGCACAAGGAGTACAAATTAAAGCATTGAGGAAACGCACAGCAAACAAAATGTACAACATCGAAGGACCGCATGAGCAGAAAGTGATTTTGAACTTTTTATTTTCTTGAGATTATTGAAATAATGCGATATTGCGGTGCATAAAGTACTTCTCGCTCAGAGGCCGAAAAAAAAATTTTTCCGCAGAAATCCTTATTGGAAATTTTATCACCCGCTTAGTCCGCACATCCTCCTCCTTCTCTCAGTATGAATCTTTACTTCGCTTTGCTTGAGTCACAATAACTTTTTTTAATCCACGCTGAACACTTTGTTTTTTAAAATAAACTCCTACGGAAACAGCCATCAACTGATTTTCTAAATGTTAAACTGGTAAATCTGTTATAGTAAAAAGCCTATATTTTATACTGTAGACGATCATTTTCCTTTTTTTGAAGAAAAAAAATTTCTAAATTGTTGAATACATTACCAACACTAAATTATAATTCAGTTTGGAAAACAATCAGCATTAACCATTATTTTTCAAAAGCTTTGCAAAATACGAATACATTTAGATAGTTGCAACTCCAGGTGCCGAAATACTTGCGCATGCATGTTGATTTCTGCATTGCACTTTTGGATTCTGAATGCAATTTTGACGTGACTGTATTATTCGGCGCATAACTCTGAGAACACGGAGCAATGGCGATCAAATCTAAATCCACATCACTTGCAGTGCAACTATTTCCAAGAAAGGGCAGTCAAAAGTCGTGGAAAAAGCTCGGTAACATGGAAGAAATCTATTAAAAAGCAGGAAAGTTCAAAATGGCTTCCTCAAAAGCATTCCATGCTCACAAATTGGAAATCGTTTCATCAAATCAATAACTGTCAAACTTTACACAAAAAAGTCAAACAAGAGCAATAAAGAGTATAATAACTTGGTCTTGCATCAAACGTGACTGGAATCGCATCCAATGATGAACGAAAAGAATGGAACAGATTAGTTGATTTGTCGTAGCTGGCAAACATGACACTGGAAGTACCGCTATGCTCAGGATAGAGACTGCCAACTTTCCTTCTATCCGTTCATTTACTTCGATGATAAATTGGTATTAGTGCATTTCAGACAGCAAAGACCAAAATCAGCTCATTTCTAAGCAACTCTAGGAAGAGCGACCATCGAAAAGTAAGTACGTAGGTAAGTGCTTCCCCTTGGACTTCTTCCTAGTGTCTCCTCAAAAGAGTGATACAAAAGGGATTTTAATTTTGGACTTTTGGATTTGATGCAACACACAAAAAAGTAATGCGGGAAAAAGCCTAGATGCAGAAGCGCTTCCACTATGAATACTTTACTAGCCTAATGTGAACGAAGCAACGTGACGCCTGTGTTTTCAGCGATATTTGAGATCTGTCCGTTATAGATAATCGATGTGAATAATTTTGCTATACCGTTTACTAACACTGCGACTTTGGCCATCAGCGCCCTTTTTATATAGAGTCTGCACGAGCCTTTTGTCATTTTTCGAAAATGTTCGCTGTAACTGAAATAAAAAGAGCAATCATTAAGTGTCTTTTCAAATATACAATTATGAGATATGAAGACATTCCATAGAAATAACACTAGCAATGTAGGCCGGTATTACATTTACAAAACGCAGCACTTTGCTCATGAAAAGCATCTCCCAATGAGATTTCGTTTACCAAATGGCTCGCTATCGTTCTCCGGCAGTGGTGAAAAAAGAAAGGTACAAACTGCTGGTACTTGAAGCTATAAAATACTTTAAAAAAATACACAGATGGAGCAAATTTTCGTGATTTAGTTTGCTGAGTGTTATATCACTGACCCAACCAGACAAAAAATCGTTTTCGGGCACCTCAACTGTCAAATCATGGTACTACTGTTAGCGATTCTATCCCAATCATATCTCATATCCGATATTTCTGGGAGAATTTCTTAATTTATTTACTCTATCACTGTTCAGATGATATGATAATCGTGTGAAAAATTAGCTACCTCAAGTGATAATTTGCCAGCAGTCTGCGGCATGGCGGAACGGTACATTGGGGTAAGTTGAATACTGTTGGAGTGCACTTCGCCTTCTTCGATCATTATCTGCCCTAAATCTGCGATTTTAGATCTCAAAAATCGCAACCCCTTTCAATTTATTAAGAAATTCAAGAAGACAGGACGTAACTAACTGCGATGGAAACCGATTTCACTGACAGTTAAACAACAACTTCCACAGAGTACCAATTATTCTGCCCATACTTTTTGCACGTTTTTATGAGTTTTTACAGAAATGTAAAAATGCGTACTGACGGAAGGTCGTCGGTATGTGTGCGTGCGTATATCTGTTCGGATTTTCTTACCAATGTATCAATCAAAGAAGCTATGAAGCTACAATTTTACAAGAATGCTTACGGCCCACGTAGCGGCCGCCTATATCTTAAGTACGCATGCCTGACATCAGGCTGAAAACCCAGGCTGGAACGCATCAGGCGGGCCGGTGCGAGTATGCCTTTTTGTACTTTTCGCGCTGTAGCAAGATCGCAAGGAATCATAGTGGCTAACCCTGTGACGTACTGGCCCTCGAAGTTCGGGAAGTTAATTGTGCAGCTGAGTAGTATGTCATTTGTAGATGCCGACTTCGGTGACCCGAAAAATGGAAAGTTGCTGGTCTGCGAAAAAGGCCGCATTAGAAGAATTAAATCTGGCATTCCCTTGAAATTAAAGCCTCAGCATTCTTCGTTACTGGTTAGCAGTTTTCCCACCAAAATTTTCACTTTTCCGTACGTGATACCGGACGGTTTTAAGGAGCTGAGTTTGAAATCTTTTGGTCATTCATGAGTAGGAAACATTCCCCTAAAGTTTCAGCTTTCTAATTTTTCCCGCTCCCGGATTAGTAATTTTCGCGCCAAAACTTCCACGCGCTCATGTGTGGGCCCCAGGCGCTTCTAAACACCTGATTTGGCACGTACATGAGTAGGGAACATTGCTTTAAAGTTTCAGCTTTCTAGCTTTTTTCGTTCACGAGTTAGTGGTTTTCGCGCCAAAATTTCCATCTGCTCGCACGTGGGTCCGGGCGTTCCCAAACACCCGATTTTGGTCGTAAATGAGTAGGAAACATTCTCCTAAAGTTTCAGCTTTCTAGCTCTCTTCGTTCCCGAGCTAGTAATTCCCGCGCCAAAAATTTTTACGCGCCCATACATGAGCCCTGGATGGTCCCAAGGAGCGGAGTTTGAAAACTTTTAGTCGTACTTGAGCAGGGAACATTCCTCCAGAGTTTCAACTTTCTAGCTTTTCTCACTCCCGAGTTATGAATTTTCCCGCCATAATTTTCACTTGCCCTTACGTAAGCCCCGGGCTGTCCTGGGCAGCTGAATTTGAAAACTTTTTGTCATACACGGCTAGGGAACATCCCCCTATCGTTTCAGCTTTCTAGCTTCTCTCGTTCCCGAGTTAGCAATTTTCCCGCCAAAGCTTCCACGTGCTCGTACGCGGAGCCCAGACGTGCGTGGGAGTTGATACCGCGGTCGTGGGGTGGCACTTGTTTAGGGGACACACTGGCAAAATTTCAGCTTCAAAGCTTGCGAGGTTGGCGAACTGAAACACCCAGACAAACGCACGCACACACACACACACACACCACACACAAACATACACGCATACATACACACACATACATTGACAGGGTCGTTACAATATGCGTTTTCGTTTCTGCTGCCTGCTGCAGCGCTCTAGCGCTGCACGGCAAAAACGCACTTAACGATTAGGAAAAAGTACAAAAAAATTTGCACGCGTGACTTAAAAATTTTAAATTCTGCTCTGAAAGGTATCTAAGCTTCGTGGTACACACAACCGAATGTTCCGTTAAATTCCGTTGGTATCCTTTGGACCCATTTATCAGAATGAGCAGGAAACTGTGATTTTATGGGGATATTTAGTGCCCGAATACGGAACTGTAAACCAAAATCAGCATAGATGCCTTTCAGAGCTGAATTTAAAATTTTTGAATCACGTGTGCGGGGAATCTCCTTGTCAACTTTTGCCTCGCGTTCCCGACAGATCAAATGTTTTGTTCACAGACTTGTTGGCTTCCTTCTTTTGGAAAAACAGGACATACTGAAGACAAATAATTTCACGCGAGTAATGCTTGGTCTTGTGCGGCACCAAAAACGTAAAAATACTTTCACATAAGTCTATGCCTCGCACATAGACAGGGCTGCATTTCGAGTCAGTGATCCCCTTCCTCCGCGTCACTCGCCTCTCCTACCGTCACGTCCAAAAAGGCCAGTCAGAACATTTTCAATACGACTGTACACATTACACTATAAAGCAACGACCATTCGTGCTACCGATGATTTTACTGCTGTACGAAACTGCTCAAAGTATGCATAATCATTTCTGCAACCCGAACGCTCACCACTGATTATTTATTCTATGTAATTCTGGCGTCAATTAATATAAAGTTGTCAGCGTATCTTGCTTTGCTGTTTTCAAGCTTCGGAACACATGCAACGTTAGGGCCATTATGCAGCATGTTGCTCAGAACAGCAAAAAAGTGTTAACTGGCGTAGTCCGGATGCCGACGCCTCTGTTGAACTGCAACTGCTGAATAAATGAGGACTTACCAAAATTACTGGCTGTGACAAGTGCCACGAGAGGATTGCCATCTGGATTCGAGCTAACTGTCAAAAAACCATAGTGTATGTGCTGATCTGATGAATCGTTTTTGTTTATTGCTATCGATCTAAGCAGTTTCATATTTCAGTATGGGATTGTGAAAATAAAACTGTGAATAAATTAATTATGAACGAACAGAGTATCAGCTTATTGACTAAATACTATTTAAGCAGTGGCGATGACTAAATACTACTTAGGCAGTGGCGTTTGACGGGTAGCAATAAAGGACACCGAAAAAAACACACGTGAAATTGATGCTTGGTTTTCCGAACATTAGAACATCGGCAACCGAAATTGTTAATATCTCTGTATACGCAATGCCTTCGAAATCAGTCACATAATCGACAGATCGTGATCGAGTGCCTGAACGTGAAAAAAATTAATACTGTGCAACGGAAAATTTTCGCTGCCCTGGAGGTAAGGAAATTTTTCACAGTGTCACAGCATGTGCAGGTATGCAAACCAAAGAGTAAATTTGAACTAAAACTTGCAGAGCCCAAGATATCAAAACTAAAAAGTCGGCAAATTCCAAAATTACAAAATATACGATGGAAAAAAGGCAGTAAAAGTAAGCCAAATGTGGTTTCCTGCATTTGCAGCTTCTTTTTAATCAGTACAATAAACTGAACCCATCAAGGCAGTCTCACCATAGCAAGTATTCTTGGTACTCGCTACCAAAGAACTATTGCCAAGTGTCTCTACCTTTTGCAGAAAGCAAATAAGGAACAGGTTTTAACTTTGACAGTGAATGAAGTAGGTCACATCCTATTGTCTATTGCCAAACTAAGCCTCGCTATATCCAGTTTGGATTCTCTCTACTTTTCACTTCTGCTTCCTTGGATTTATCTGTTTATCTCCTCCTCGCTTTGAAACTATCAATAATTATTAGTACATACCATTCACATCAGCTTTCCAAATTCCAATCATCCATGCCAGCGGCAACAGTATTGGAGCCAGTGGCTGCGATGTTGCTACTAAAAAATCATTGCAGTATGTTTTATGGAACAAAACAGTAGTGCTGTTATGTTTCAAAAGCACTCTGATTGCAAAAAAGTAATGCATCATTGATGGACTAAATGGACAAAACAGACTTTCGAAGTTCACTGGAGTTGCGGAAAAGTTGTAAATTTGTGTTACAGTTTATATCTGTAAAGTCATTATAGCCTCAGCGAGAAATAGCGACACACACACGGGTAGCTAGTGCAATAATGTGTTTAGAGGAAGCGTTTGACCTAGTGCAAATGGCTTGTAATTCTAATTAAAGTCCCAAAATAACTGAAAATAAATTACAATTACAAATAAGAGAAATATTATAAAATATGAGAAAGATCCTATCAGGATCTCTTTTGTGCGACGCACTGTAAGCAAATGCTTCGGAGCTGTGTTGCGAAGTAAGTCAAAACATAACGCAAACACTCTGCCAGGAAATATCTTCTCATGTTCTCAGAACGGGAGGTAAAAAAACTGCTACAACTATAAACATAAGGTACATCTTTTGAAATACATTCCCAAACCGAAGAATGGGAAAAACTATCTTACCATGCTAATGGAAATTCCTATTCAGGTGCACAAAAGCACGCTATAACGGCAGTCGGGATTCGGCCTTTCAACAGTGAAGTAACCTGCGCCCGAACCCTCTCGTTTCTTGATATTTCAGTCCCCAATTCGTTCGTATTTTTACCGTCGTTCAGCGCGACGTCTGCACGGCTCTGCCAGGGCATCCTTCGTCAAGTTTTAGGCCGACACCTCTTACTGGGGAGTGTTCTGTGGTCGTGATATTTTTGATAGTCCGCTCGGGCAACTCCGTGACCGCGCATCTCATTTTAATAAAGTGCTTCTTGTTATCTGGCCTGGTTCCCGTAGATCCACTGCACAAATACACATACAATCACTCACTTCAAGTTATTACGATGTCAAGTACGTATCCTATAGCTGGACCACTTTAGCACTCTGCACGTAACTTTAATGGAAGCGTGCCATTAAAAACATTCGCTGCTTTACGATTTGATATACGCAAAAAAAAAAAAAAAAAAAAAAAAATTTTGTCTGGTTCTCGGGCTAGAAAATTCATGAAACGCAAAAGTATATAAAAGATAAATTCAGATTTGTGGGGTCGCAAACAACTGGGATGCATCTCCGTAAACTTCAACTTTCTAGTTTCCGAGTTAGAAAATTCCCCGCTAAAAGCTTCGTGTGACTTCATGTGAGACCTCAGTAAATCTGAAAGTGTATTTAAATTTTGCGAGATTGTAAATGCGTCGCCAACGTCCTCTAAAAATTTAAGTTTCTCAGTTTTTCCGTTCACTGAGTTGAAGACTCTGGACAAAAAGTCAAACACACTCAACAGACAAGATCTCGATAGTATGATTCTGCAGCTTACAGCATACAAACCCAGTAGTCGTGCACTTAGGTGTTACTGATATGATCATGCGCTCTGCACGAAATGCCAGCGTTTGTGAAAGCTGCTGCGTGCTCCTCAGAACCAAGCAATATTTTCACAGAATTTCAACTTTTTTGCCCATCTGATTAGTAAGGGAGAAGGATAACGGCAGTACTGCACTTTGAACATTTGATGCGTCTTTACGTAGAACACATGCATAAGCAACAGTTCATTTCACGCTTGCCAGTCGGCAGATAAACAGCAAATACACTGAGAAAAACATTGCTTCCTGCTAAGTCTGGCTACTGAATTATTGGATACCAAGAGTAACCCAAACTAAATTTCCAAATGCACTCAGAGGAATTTGGGCTTGCCTTAAAGCTGAATTTGAAATACTTAAGTTGCAAATGGACACAGAATATTATCACAAAATTTCAGCTTCTTAGCTTTTTTAGTTGCGTAGGTGGATGGCAAAATGGAAACACACGCACAGATAAACTTTTGGTAATATGCAAATGAAAAAAGGCATGTTGTCGAGGGGTTGTATGTATGCATATGTATAAGTGCACGTGTGCATAACTGGCTGTGTGTATTTCTTCGGATTTTAGTCACTCACATTAAACTCAGCTATCACAGAAGCTTGCATGCGTCCCTGTGGCTTAATATCGACATCCGTGCTTAATTGGGACTCACGCGCGGGAGATTATGCTAAGTTTTTCCACGGAAAATGATTTCAGGAACTAAACAGGATAGGAAACGGAAATTTTGGCAATTACAATAATTGGCCAACGCACGGGCTGCCCGGCGAGAATGCGTTTTTGCATAGTTCATCGCAGTTTTGTCACTACCGGCATCGGTTCTTCGCAAATGCTTCTAGCTAGACAAGTTAAGACTGGCCCCCAGAACTGGCAGAAAACATCCCCTTAAAATTTCAGCTTTCTAGTTTTCCTGGCTTTTGAGTTAGCAACTTACTGGAAAAAAACTTTCACGGGTCCGCACGCAGGTACGACGCATACCCGATGTCTGGGTTTGAGCTCGTTGAAACTTACTTGGACGGGGAACATCTTAAAACTGCAGTCTTTTAGCTTCTCAGGTTCTCGAGTCATGAATTTACCCGAGCAGAACTTTGGTGAGCCCATGCGTAGGTACCACGCATGACCGAGGGCTGTGTTTGAGCTCGTTGAGACTAATGTGCACGGGGAATATCCTCTTAAAATTTCAGCTTTCTAGCTTTTCTGGTTCGTGAGTTGTCAACTTACCCGAAAAAAATTTGGCGTGCTCGTGCGCGGGTACCACGCCTAGCCGGGGGCTGGGTTTGAGCTCATTAATATCCACTTGGACCGGAGACATTCAGTTAAGATTTCAACTTTCGAGCATCTCAGATCCCCGAGTTGTGAACTTACCCGAAGAAAATTTGGCGGGCCCGTACGCGGGTACTACGCGTACCCCGGACTGGCTTTAAGCTAATTAATACCTATTTGGATGGGGAACATCCCCTTAAAATTTCAACTTTATAGCTTCTCTAGTTCGCGAGTTAGCAACTTACCCGTAAAAAACTTTGGCGGGCTCTTACTTAAGTATCACGCGGGTGAGACCGCCCATTTTGGGGATGGGGGCCCACACGTGCATGTCGATTAAATGCCCAAAGTTTCAGCCCTGTAGCTTTTGTCGGTCTCAAGATAAAAAATCGGTACAGAGGCCCTGCGCACACACAAACACACACAGACACACGCACACACAAACACAGACACATACACACACAGACAATCTCTCGTCAATATGCGTTTTTATGCGTTTTTGCATAATATGCAGATGCGAAAACGCATATTGCGACGACCCCGGTGTGTGTGTGTGTGTGTGTGTGTGCGTCTGTCCAGGTGTTTCAACTCGGCACCCAAGCAAGCTCCGG